AAAATTTTAATATGCCTATAAATAGGGCATTGTTTTATATTTTTGGATTCGTTGAATAAGATTTTTTTAGTGTAAATTTTTTGTGAAAATACTTGATGGTTGCTCTACTCTTTGATGAAGCTTAGTTTATGATTTCTAGTGCTTTAGTGAGTCATTAGTTATCTTTTTAGCACTTTTATTTATTCCTTTTTAACACAATTCTAATATCCTCGACGTAGCCTAAGGCCTAGCTTTCCTCAACTCCAAAACACATACAACCACTTCAAAAACTCCCCCAAGTATTCCCCCATATCCCTCTTAATCTCCCAAGGCCTCACTATCTAATAACCACATTATATTTTAGCCAATATGCATTTAACTTAATGACACTTCGTACGGGACAATCTGGTCAGTTATTTTCCCAAACGAGCAGTTGAACGAATAGATTTGAAAATCTTTTTCTAAGTATGGATCGTATGGCACGATATTAATTTTCTCACAGGGACAAACGCCTCTGTTTTGTCCTTACATGAAGATCATACGGGACAATATTAAATTTTGTACCATGATGAATGTCTCTATTTTATTCTCGAATGAAGATCGTATGGGATAATATTAATGTTCATACTATGATGAACGTCTCTATTTTGTTCTCGCTCATTTCGTCATGACGTTTCATACAGACGAAATTTAATTTTCTAGCTGTTCATCCCGGGAACTTAGTTGATACCTGACAATGATCACATACAAAATGATTTCATACCGATTCATAATAGGTTCGTACGTAATAGTATTTGAACTGTTCGTACATATGAACATATGATCGTACGGTACAATCGTGAATGCTCTAAATTGAAAATTTCAATTTTTTGGATGGTTTTTCGTGTCTTTTGTATAAAATGTCCACTAAAATTAACGTGAGAGAGTCTTATCTACGTGATTTTTCAAGGGCAATTGAAGGAGAGAGTGTGAGAGAGTGTTTGAGAGAGATTTGTTGTAAGTGGAGTGTGAAGGGTTCATAAGGTTACTCAAAGGTAATGATGTCTTTGTAATTGTGGTTATCACTCTTTCTCTTGTCTTTATAGATTGCTTGTGAGAAAATCTTCGGATAAGATCTGGTTCTTTGCCGACACTTGTGAAGTGTGAAAGGATGATGGTTCTTTGCCGACACTTGGAGGGTGTGAAAGGATGACGGTTCTCTGCCAACACTTGGAGAGTGTGAAAGGATGAAAGTACTCTGCTTACACTTGGAGGGTGTGAAAGGATGAAGATACTCTACCTGCAATTGGAGGGGTGTGAAAGGATGAATGTGCTCTTCCTACACTTGGATGGTATGAAAGGACCAAGGTACTCTGCCTACACTTGGAGGGTGTGAAATGACGATGCTTATCTATCGCATCGAGGATTAGTGGAAAAGAGCTTTTGTAAAGGCTTCTTTGCCTTGCTTTGAGGGATAAATGAGAGTCATTTTGGTAATAATGTAATACCTGAAATGGGAGGTTTCAGGGAGCGGATGTAGGCCGTGTTCGACCGAACACTATAAACCTTTGTGTCATTTTTTTATTTCCGCTGCTTTAATTTCTGTAAGTTATCTGTTATAGTTGAAAAATTCTTTTAAAATTTCTTAATTAACTTGCATCAGAATTTTAATAAGTTTTCTAATTAAAAATCCAAGAAGGAATTTTTAAAATTACCAATTCACCCCCCCTCTTGGTTAGCCTTGAGTTATAAGCTTAGGTTTAATAACCTATTCTAAATTCAACAAGAATTAACATATAGTAGCAAAGAATAAAAATTAATAATGAAACATATAATTTAATTTTATAATGAATTAACAAACGAATATTATCTACAAAAAAATTTTATAAATGGAAAAGTAAAGATTAAGAGTTACAATTCATACAAGCAGCAATTACAAATTGAAATAACTGAAAATCATCAATGTTTCTCTGATTCAATTATTCCCATCATCTTTCTTATATATTCAGGTGTCGGCTGGCTGGTTGGTCAACGAAGAGTGTACTCAACTGTGAAGTATTCTGGTATGTTTATGAACTTCACCTAACTGAGTGGTTCCCTAGGTGTACATTATTTAGTTGAAGGAGTAGCCTGGTCCTCGATTTTCTTTTTCTTACATTTTTTTCTTCTCCTAGTGACTCTTCAATCTTGCATTAGAGATGCCTTTAGGCCTACACTTGAGTGAGTCTTTCAATTTTTTTAACCCATCTTATGTTATGGCAATTAACTTGTGGTTCTTTTTTTACCATCCAGTATCAAGTTGACATTTTTCAGCCATGTTAGTTATTGCAACCAACATGTACTTTTTCACTTCCTTATTCCCTTGTCCTCATGTGCTGATTTAACATACATATATACTGAGATGATTTTTTGAATATCATACCACATAATCCCTCGTGAGATGGGATCACTTTCTTTCCCATACATGTGAATGTGCATCCAGCATAAATATCTTTTCTAGTTCTAACTAACCATCTCAGTAGTAGGTATTTCGAAGGAATATTAACTATATCTAAATGCCTTATCACTCTTATGCAATGGAGAATATAGTAAACCTATCATGTTAAACTTTCAATAGCTGCATTGAATGGTATCCTCATTTGCATCAAAATGAACAGTCCAATGGTGCGAATGATTAATCTTCTCGACACTTTTGTGTAGATGAGTCACTTGAGGCAAGATTTATGCACATTCCACCCAAACCTTATAAGAACTTCTCAAAAAATGAATGCAATATCCAAAAATAAAATCGAGCAGTTTATTTTAGTATTGGGCTACTTTTTATTAAAGGCACAATTTTGAATTGGCTGCATCTGAAATCTTCATCCTGTTCATTCCGATGCCAAGTCATCATCACCTTATCTAAAATAATCAGTTATAGGACTTTTTGGCTTAAAAATGTCATGGCACACATTATTAGTGGATTCACTACAATGTGTTGAAAGAATACCAAGGTTAAAATGACTCTTGTTGAATGTTATATACCACTTATTCCTTATTTTATAATTCTCCTTCAAATAGTCATGGCTGTGGAAGTCCCCTTTGTTGATCATTTTAGCACAGGTTCTCTCAAACTCATCAAAATCACACTTACTTAATTATCTATAAAAAGGCCTCTAACTTTGTTGTTGTTATTGAAGCATTACACATTGGATGATGCCTTCTTAATGATGTGCCATTGGCGCAACCTATAACATGTCTGAGGTAATGCAATTTTTATCGCCCTAACCATTGACTGGTCTTGATCAGTAAATATTGTAATGGGATTATTATCACCCATTATTCAAAAAAATGTTCTAAATAACTAGGTAAATGATTCAATTGCCACTCTTATGTAACCCCTAAAAAATATTTTATCAATGATTATTAACTCCAGCAAAGGGTGCACACACTAGATTATATTTGTTAAACCTATAACTTGTATTAAAAATTATCATATCTCCAAAGCAGTCATAATATTTTCTCCACAACCCATCAACCTTAAAAAATTTAACAATATATCATCCTCATCAGTTTAGACGTCTCATACAAATATGTTATCATAAACTAGTTGATCTTTAAAAAGTTTAATTAGGGAATTGATGTTCTTATTCTCAATATTTGTTCTTTTATCTTTCTGAATGTAGTTATATGTATCCCTTTTAGAGAATCCAATATTTTATAAACCTCCTGCTATATCGCATGGGTAGGTAAATGCATCAATGATTATTATCCCGACTTATGTCATTGATTTAAAAACTGATGCTTTTTATCACTAATATTCCTACATGATCTAAGCAGACGTTGATCTTCCGACCTAGCTAATTCGTGATTGTGGCTCTTTATGTATTTTTGCACCATCCATACTCCATCTTCATCAACTGAAAAATCTAATCATAGCAGGACACCCGGTTCTTGTATTTAATTTTCTATATTTTGATTTGAAATTTAAGTCAATACCCTTCTTAAATTTAACTTTCGAACAGACAAAGTCCTTGAATATTATTTTTCTCGAATTAGGCTAGTAACTGTAAAGTTCTTTGTGAACACTAAAACCAATATTATGAGCATAATGCCAATAAATCTCATATGCTTCCTTCTCATAGTTATCAACACCCTGTGTACAAGAAAAACTTATTAGACACTTTGATTTAAACATGACAAAAAATACACTAGTGGTATATAGAGGTACAAAGCATTGGTACTCGTCCAGAGGTACATATCAACGGCACAGCTGGTTAGAGAGAGAGAGTGAGGTATAAAGCAGTGGAACATGAGTAACTTATCTAACACTTTGATTTAAACTTTGCAAAAAACATACCAAGGGTACATAGAGGTACATAACATCAGTACCCAGAAGTACACATCAGGGGTACACAGAGGTACATAGCGAGCCAAAAGGAGGTAGGTTAGAGAGGTACAAAGCGGCAACACACATAAACGATATTATACAACAAAAAATGTTTCAATTTAAGTTTTTATCAGGACTTTCACATAGATTCCAAACTTGCATGTAAGCATGTGCATCTAAAAGAGATTTAAACAATACACCCTAAAAAAAACTTTAGATTTTCAAAGGAAAAATAGTAAAACCTCTTAGGAGTATTAAATTTATTGATAATATCGCCAACTAATCTTTTGTAGTTAGCTGAGGTGCTTCTTCCTGGATATTTTGCATGGTTTGGGTAACACCTTTCATGTCCTCGCAATATTGACGTCCTTCAAACCGGTTTTTATCTTCATAGCATCTTCCTCTCTTCTCGTTCTCAGCTTTCTTTGGAGGAGAAAATCTGTCTCAAGTGAGAAAAATAATCCACCACATCATAAATCTAATATTGGTGCATTTATTTTAAATTTTCATGTCTGATCTGGATCAATTCGTCCGGCCACACGATAACTTGAAAAAAAGTAAAAATGATGGGTCACCGGGCCACACATGATGACATTTTATTAGAGCCGGAGTCCACACCTAATAATTTTTTCTCTTGAAGGTCCTATAAATAAATCAAGATTTTAATGAAGGGCGGTTATCTAATTTTTGATTTTCCATTTTTCCATTTCTACTGGAAATAGGAGTCGAGAAGATAAGAGTTTAAAGGATTCGAGTCCGCGGCCAGAAGTTCCCACGGCCTGTTGTAATGGCTCAGGCTCTCGTTGCTTCCTCTTCCTCCTCCTTCCTCCTAAGTCTCTCTCTCTCTCTCTCTCTCTCTCTCTCTCTCTCTCTCTCTCTCTCTCTCTCTCTCTTTCTCTTCTCTATGTATTCTTCATTTCTTACATAATAGGTTAAGCTGATTTGGTTTTTGGATACAGATGCTTCAGCTGCCAAAACCGCCAGGCCTCAGGTTTCTGCTTGTTTTCTTCCGCGTTCTAGAGTCTCACAGATCGCCTCTTCCTTCAAAAGCGGCTCTCCTCTTGGTAAGTTTGTTTTACTTTCTTTGAACTACACCCCCAAACCTAGCCACATGTGATGACTTCATAATCAGCTAAAATGTTCTGAACTGGGTCCTTACTGAAATTTGAATTTTTTTACAGAATTATGTTCCATTCAACCATGCGTCTTTTTTATGGCTGTTGTATAAACTTACCTTTTCATGTTCACTCTTCTTTGTACTTTGTTATTTATTGACATTTAGTTTCTGTAGTTGTTAGGCTTGCTTCGATGAGAAATTTTGAATGCCGATCAGCGTGGGTTCCCATTAGGTGTGAGCAGGGAGCCAAAGAGAGTAGTGGATTAGATGTGTGGCTTGGTCGTCTTGCAATGGTTGGCTTTGCCACGGTAATCACTGTTGAGATTGTTACTGGGAAGGGGCTTCTCGAGGTATGAATATACCTGAAGTATTCTTTTTCCAATTTAAAATGGCAAATGCAGTACAGGAGATGTTATACCTAAGTATGAAATCGATTTGGTTTTATCATTACTGTTAGTTTTTGATGCAACAGCTCATATTTTCTATTATATTTCATTGTTTCCATTTTTTTGTGCCGATTTGGTTTGGTATTCTACCTATTATTTGCCTAATACCTTTATTTTATTTGGTAAAACTAGTTACATTGTTGTAAGTGTATGTTTTTGTTATTTTTGTTACGTTATTTTCCTAGCTTTTCGTTGGTAAGTCTTGCTAGTACGAAAACTTTTAGTGTCTATACTCTTTTATTCTGTATCTTTTTCTGTGAATTATGCAATAAGTTCTTTCATATTGAAAAATGTATGGTTGTTTGATTAAATCGTGAAAGTGGTCTTGGAGGATCTCAAAACTTTGCAAAATTACTAATAGAGAGTTAGAATTGTAATTGTTGAATGAGGAAAAACTAAATTTCAAATTGATAGTTTACATTCAAAGAAAAGGGGGACATTGCAAAAGATAAAAGAGTGAGGATGTTCAAATGAAAGTTCAACAAGTTTTCCATAAAATCCTCCTTTTCCCAAGGCACTAGCCACCTAAGGAGAGAATATGGAAATTTTCGCAATTTTTATTGTTCTGTATTCATATCTTCAATTTGAATTGTAATAGTACCAAGAGTTTTTTACGCATAATTAAGGTTATAAATAAGCCTCTATGTATCCATGATGATATAATTGAAATTTGATTGAAGATTTAGAATTCATTCTCAAAAAATTACTTGCAGTACTTCTTTCTCTCTCTCTTGAATTTTTCAGTAAAGGCTCCTAGAGCTCTCTTTTTCTTCTCCATTGGTACACCATCCAATGAATGACAAAACTCTTGGAGTCTTCAGGTACAATTTCCAAGGTGGTCAATGGCTCCCTATGATGCACAGACACGAACACGGGACACATCAATTATTGAAAATATATGATACGAATACGGGTTGGACATGGTATTATAGTTTTTATATTTTAAAAATAGTGTATAAAAATTAAATAAGTATAATTTTAAAAATAATTTGGAAATAATAAGTCATTTAACTAGAATTTGTGCTTAAAATATATAGTATTAGGATATCGAAAGTCGGGTGTCGATGTCGTTTATCAGTCACCGAGAGAGGAAATGAAAATACCTTCACTACCAAAGAGAAATGAAAATTAAATTATTTGATGAATGGGTATTAAGTGCAGACATTGATTTTGTGTTGTGGATAGGAAATAATAAATTTAGTTTAAATCCCGACATCCTGTCAAATACAAGAAATTATATTTTTAAAAAATTCATAAAATATTTAAGATACGTGTGTCGGACACGCATGTCCAATTTTTATTTAATATTTTTTTAATCAGACATATTTTCGGCTTGTCCGACACGTTTTAGAGGAGTGTCGGATGAGTATCATGTCGGATACGTGTCAGACATTGCATGCCTCTTTGAGGAAAAGTGGTGGTGCATCATAGATGGCTCCTTTCTCTTTAATTTCTCTCCCAGGTAGATTAGAAAATCAACCTATTTTCTCTCATTTTCTCCATATAAATGTTAACTTCTTGACTTAGCAATTTCCTATTGGTTCTCGAAGTTTTCCATGACCTAATTTTAATGAAGGCTTGGATATTGGCCACCAACTACACTAGATCACACCACAACCATCTGCTCTTTCTTTTAGTTACTGTGATGTTCTTTTGTCAAAAGTCATCCCTTTGGTGTTAGGGAATAGGTAAAACTCAATTTAAACACAGTTGAAAAAGAACATAAAAAATAAAGAAAAATCAACACATACAAACACAAGAATTTTACATAGGTTCACCCAATTGATAGCTATGCTTTTTTTGCCACTGCTGTAGATTTCACTATAGTTTGATTGTGGAGAAAACATAACCCTAATTTCTCAGATATAAACGTAAGATGTTTCTTTTTTTTAATAAAGAATTAGGATAGTCGAAATATAATAAAATTTTCGAAACACTCTGAATGAAATAACCATAAATTTTGGACGTGTTTTACCCCAAAGCCTTAAGAGGTAGGTGCCCTATTCCTTTTTCAACCCTATAGTGTTCTTATAACGAAATTTGACTCGTGACTAAGTTTGCCTGGTACATATTCTTCATAGAGATTAGATTAGTATCCACAACTTAAAATTAGATTTCCTTTCATTTGACCTTTCATTTGTAAGCATATTAGTTATATCTTTAAATACTATTCTTTCTTGTCTATAACGCAATAACAAACAATCAAAACTTTCTAAACATACTGTTTGTTATCTTCACTAATCTCTTTGTATTGATTATCACAGCAACTAAATTTACTTAATGTATTATTCTAACTTTTTGTAGTTTTTCACAGGCTTTGTCCCATTCTCTCTCCTTACATTGATTGTTATTTCCATTCTTTTTTCTTACGTTGGTCATTACTATGCCAAATGGACGGCTTTCTTCCTAATTAATTATTCATTTCTTCCCGTTGCTACCATTAGGTTTTCTTGCTTATACTTATTCTAATATCAATTCATATCTCTGTCAACTTAGTCAATTATATCCAATTTAACTTTTTTGTTTCTTAAGTACCTTTCAAAACTTTACTTTCCATATATCTTTGAAGTTCTCATGCCCCTATTGTACACTCCATTGAATAGTAGCTAAACTACTTTAATATCTAGAAACTTTGTTTGCTTTCAGTTTTTCAACATCAATTTCAACAGTATTAGGAAATGCTTTCATTATCTTTTCTTTAAGTTCTTTGGGGCATTTCCTGTGATTGAGGATATGACCGAGAACAGAGAAGAAGCTAGCAAGTTGGCCAATCCTTGGAACAAAAAACCGTATATCAAATTGAATTTCAATAGGGAGAATGTCGTTCTAACTGAGGATGGAAAGGCTGTAAAATTAATTGAATCCTCTGAAGTAATGAATGCTAAAAAGCTAGAATTTTCACTGGTTGCAAAGGTATTTGGTAGAGAAATACCTTCTCACTTAGTTGCTTGGGAGTTGTGACGACAATGGGCTTTTTTTGGTCAAATTCATTTTACAACCTTAGGAGTGGGATGGTATTTGTGTTCGTTCAAGACATTGGATGCTATGGAAGGAGTTCTGTCAGGTGGCCAATGGTTTGTAAATGGTCACATTGTGGGAATGGAGAGGTGGTCGATTGATTTTTCTCCAAACACAATGAAAGGATTAACATCACCTATATGGATCAGAATGCCCCAGCTGCCTCTACAATGTTGGGATGAAAACAATGTGACTATGATTGCTTCTAGGGCGGGTGTTCCATTGATGTTGGATGGGAACATGTTTCAATGGGGTAGGAAGGAGTTTGCAAGGGTTTGTGTTCGTGTGGAACCAGACAAACCTCTCCCCATGGGTGTATGGGTGGAAGGGATGGCCGGAAGGTTTTATCAGAAGATTGAATATGAGAGAATATCATCTTTTTGTTATGAATGTGGTATGATTGGCCATGATAAAAGTTATTGTAAAAAACAATGTGGAGGCTACAAACAATCAAGTTAAAGGCAGCCAATATAAGATTGCACAAGAGATGGAGGTCAAAGACACTTATAGACCTTGGGTCCATTTTAATTACAAAAGAAACAGGAGATTCAACAAATCAGTGAATAATGTGAGGCCGGTGCAGAAGAAATTAGATGTGAAATACCTTAGCAAAGCAGGAGCTGCTCAAACTGAACAACCTGATTTGGTAAGCAAAGATAAGGAGGCTGCTGTAAACAATAGAGCAGAGAAGATCATTGAAGACTGTTTGTTGGTAGAAGAAGGTGAGATTATATCGGATGGAGAATTCTGCAATGAAAATTCTGCAAAAATGTTGGAATGCAACAACAAGTCTGATAGTTTGGTGGAAGAATTTTGTGATGCCAAGGTATTAAAATCTACTCCAACTTCTTCTACTATGAGTATGGCCAATAAATTTCAAATGTTAAGTGAGAATGTGGAGGAGGAACTATGTCTTCTGGCAGCTAATAAGAAATCTGGAAAGGAAATTAAAAATATTGTAGTAATGAATCTATGGTGGAAAGCTGTAAGATGTTGGAAAATGGAAGCACAGGAGTGATTGAGAAAAAAGAGAGGTGGTAATAATGAAGGAGCTAAAGTTAAACTTGCCAAAGAATTGAGATCGCTTAGGCCGGTTAAAAGTTTACCTCGTGTCAGGACATTGGATGAAAATGGAAAATCAAGAGCTGGGGCTATCCCCCCTTGGTTGATTAATGAATACTATTGCATTCTGGAATTGTAGAGGGGCTAAGAAGGAGGCCTCTCTCTACTTGAAGGAGTTTGTAAGAGATTATAATGTGTTTTTTGTTAGTTTGGTAGAGACTAAGATCTCTTCCTTAGATAAAATGGCTTTTCAAAGAATGATTGGAATGGATTGGGATTTCTTCCTTCTTCCTTCAACTGGACTGTCAGGTGGCATAATGGTGATGTTGAGGTTGGATCTTGCTTCCTTCTCAGTTTTAAAGTCTTCTGAGCAATGTGTAGTTGGAGATTTGGAGGTGTTCAACAAGGGGACCTGGATGATTTCCGCCATTTATGGTAGCAAGGAGGTAGGAAAAAGAAGGGGGCCTGCCTTCATGAAGTAACTCATAGAAAAGTACCTTTGGTGATTGGAGGAGATTTTAACTGTATTTTGGCTCAAGAAGATAAAAGAGGTGGAAGGAAATTTTTCTTTTCTCAAAGCTCCAATGACTTGATTAATTTCATGAATTTCAATGATTTTCATGAAATTGGGGTGGTTGGACCAAGGTTCACTTGGTGTTATAACAAAAGTGGGGGAGGAAGGATCTTGGAAAGATTGGATAGGTGTTTGTTGAATTCATATGCTTTGGAGAAGATTCAGGGGGCAGTTGAAAGGCACAATTAGAGTGGCATCTGATCATTGCCCTGTTATTTTAAAAGTTTTTGATTCTACCAATAGGAAGAAGAATCTTTTAAAATTTGAAGATGTGTCGGTGTCTTTTCATGCTTCTTCAAGTATTATCTCCAAAGTTTGGAGAAAGTCTTTTGTTGGAGATGAAATGCAAATTTTAAACAAAAAATGCAAAAGAACTTTGAAAGAATTGTTCTTTTGGAGCAAAGCTTAAATGAAGGACTTCTTATCTCTTAAAGAAGGCTTGAAAAAGAGGTGTTGCATTTACAAGAAGAGGAGGCTATGGAAGGAGGATTAAGTGAAGAAAAGTTGAAAATGTTGAGAAATAAAGTGAATGATCTTAATGTCCACCTTGCAAGGTTGAATACTTGGTGGAGGCAAAGGGCTAAGGTGAAATGGATGGAATAAGGGGATTCTAACTCTAAATACTTTCATGCCTTTGCAAATGCAAGAAGGAATAGTAACTGGATTAATTGTGTAAAGGGGGCGGATGGAGACATGGTGGAGGATCCGGAGGAGATTGAAGAGATTTTTGTAAATTACTTCAAAACAAAATGGAGAGAAAGGGATTGTTCATTACTAAATTGGCCGGCTCCTTGGAATGTATTGGATAAAGATGATAAAACAAGGTTGGAGGCAGACTTTACTTGTTCGGAAATCCTGAATGTTATCAGGAACTTGGGTAAGAACAAAGCTCCAGGTTATGATGCATAACCTATTCCTTCTTCAAATCCTATTGGAATATTGTTGGTGAAGATGTATGCAAAGCTATCAATAAGTTCCTCTCTTCGGGTAAGTTGTGTGATGAATGGAAAGAGACATTGATTGTGTTGATCCCTAAGGTTAAAGATCCTATTTCTCTTTCAGGATACAGACCTATAAGCCTATGCAATTCTATTTAAAAGATTGCAGCTAAAGTCTTATTAAATAGATTGCTTTTGGTGATTCATAAAGTGATATCGGAGGAACAAGTTGCTTTTGTGAAGGGTAGATCAATTTTGGATCACATACTCTTGGCTCAAGAGGTTTGCAATAAAATTAGGTGTTCTAAAGCTAAGAATGGTTTTTTTGGCAATCAAAATTAATATGGAACAAGCATACGATAGTATGTGTTGGGGTACCTTGAGGCAAATGTTAAAGATGTTGGGTTTTCCATCTAGATTTTCAGATTTAATGTTGGAGTGTGTGAAGGATCCATTGTTCTCTATCATGATTAATGGAAACAACTCAAGGTGGATTAAGGGATGTTGTGGATTTCGGCAAGGATGCCCTCCTTCTCCCTTATTATTCGTTCTATGCTCTCAATTATTGTCTAACTCTTACTTGAATAAAGGCTTGGAGATTGGCCTTAAACTATCACAAAATGCAAAGAAAGTTTCACATCTCTTGTATGCAGATGATATTCTACTCTTCTCTGATGCAAAGTTAAAGAACATCAAATTGGTGAAGAAATTGATTCAAGACTATTGCATGTGGACCGATCAAAAGGTAAATCTTCAAAAATCTTCTATGCTTATGGGGAAGAATATAGGGAGAAGAAGAAGAAGCAAATTTCTAAATTGTTAAATATAAAAGTGGCTGAGGATATGGACTATTTGGGTATTAAACTTGCTTTAAGAAGATTGAAGAAATCTGATTTTCAAATTCTCTTGGATAAGGCTTCAAACAAACTCAATATTTGGGGAAATAGATTTATCTCATTGGCAGGAAGAATTACATTGATAAAGACTATTTTTCTAACTCTCCCTTTATTTATTTCTTCTCATTCATTGGTTCCTTTGAGTATTTTGAAAGAATTTGACAAGGCATGTAAGAACTATATTTGGAATAAACATGATGGTTCTCATGGTCTTCATTTTGTGGCGTGGGATATCTTATGCAAACCGAAGGATTATGGTGGCTTGGGTCTGTTTTCAGCCGTATCTAGAGTGGGTCCATTAAGAGCTAGATTTGCTTGGAAGCTGCTTGAAAACCCAAACTCCTTGCTTAATAGGAACATTATAGATAAATATGGAAAATGCTGGTGGAATAATGATGGGAAGAGGAGTTCTTCAGCCACATGGAAGATCTTGATGGATGGATGGAATTCTCTCAAAGGAATCTTAAGGTGGAGTATAGCTTCAGGCTCGATGATTGATATTCAAAAGGATATATGGATTCTTGATAGAAGTTTAGAGAGATGGCCAATGTTTGCATGCAATAGGGAGGAAGAGATTGTAACTCTAATTCTCTTATAGTTAATAGAGCTTGGGATTTCCTAAGCTTCTCCAAATGTTTGGAGAAGAACTTGTAAATCTGGTTACCAATGTTGAAATACATCAAAGCTGGGAGGAAGATAGATTGGAACTCAAGTATAAGTTATCTGGTAAATCCATTTCAGCTTTATGCTTAGGAGCTCGGTATACAGAGATTGTGCAAGAAGAGACGGACTATTGGTTTTTTAAGCTGAAGCTTAATCCACGAGTTGAATTGTTTATTTGGAGGCTATGTATGAATGCAATTCCAACTGTAGATTTACTGTTTTTTAGAAGGCTTGCTGATTCAAACCTTTGCCCAAGAGGTTGTTTTGAGGTGGAGAATATTGACCATTTTACACTACATGTCCGAAATTGCTGCAGGTTATAAAGTTACTGAACTCATGGGGATTCTATGTTCCAGCTTTTAGCTCATTCTCGGATTGTATGAAGTTAAAATCTTATTCGGTAAAGAACCCTTTCTTGCCAAAAATGTACTTTACATTGCTTTTTTATTCATGGATTAATAGAAATAGAGTAAAGCATGTTGATATGGAAGAAAACAATGTTGTTATTGCTTCTAGAATCATAAGTTTTATGGCTACTTTACATAAAGACAAGATCATATTGGGCAACTGGGGTACTAATCAATCTTCAAGGCTATCTAAATTTTGGCACCCCCTCTACCCAATTGGCTGAAAATTAATATAGATGGATCCCTATGCAAGTCGAATAAAACTGGAATTGGGGGAGTAGTAAGAGATTGCAAAGGCAGGTTTTTAATGGTATTTGGATGTGGATATGTTCATTGAGATAGTGCACAGTTGGAGCTCTTGACATTTAAATCTTTGAGAAGTTTTATCCAAAGTTGGATGCTGGAGGCTAATGGCATTGTTATAGAGGGAGATAATCTAAATGTCATCAACTTTCTCCACAAGTTGTATAGCATACCGGAGAAGAGGATGAGAGATCAAATAAATGAAGACCTATTCATGAAGAATTTCAGCAATGTTTTTTTTAATTTTGTTAATAGACAATGTAATAAGTTAGCAAATTATTGTGCTAACTTAGCTTGTGAGTATGATTTCTTTTGGGATGTAATTAGTGAGAATAATATTCCTCCTTTTGTTTTTTGTTAAAGGAGGAATGTAATAGATTGCCTTTGATTGTGTAGTTTGTATCTAGGCTTCTTTCTTAATGCAATTTGGCATTTCTTCTCAAAAAAAAAAAAAAAAAAAAAAAAAAAATTCTTTGGGGCACTTAAGCTCTTCTATGTACACCATCCAACTTAAATCAAATGAGCAACAGCTCATATCCAACTTGAATAAAGAGGAAATTACCAAGATGCTAATTATATTTTACCATGCCATGGTTAAAATGCACCATCAATTGTTAGACCGGTCCAGCCGGTCCACACGGGACTGGCCCAGCGCAACAGAGACGGAACTTCTCCGCCTCTTACGCATGCTGAGGGAGCCACCAAAGCTAACAGAGCATTTTAGGAAGGATTTTTGAGGGATTTGGGAGGGAAATTTGAATGTTGGGTCTATTTAGGGATTTTCTCTTAATTTGTATACATTAAATACTTTATTTTCCTAGGGTTAGGGCATCTTGAATTTGGCTGAAATTTTAGATATCTTAGATTTAGGTTTTCATTTGGACTCTAGCGGCGTCTAGAGATTTGGGTGAGATCGATCCTCCTCTCGAATTGAGAATCAACTGAATCTTGCTATTTCTCATTTCTATTTCATCAAATAATACAAAATGTCTACTGTTTCTCCGGTTTTGTGTGGATTTTTGTGGACAATTCTCACTGTTTTCCAAAGATTAATAGGAACTACTTGAGAACTACAAGTGTTTCCTATCAAATTGGTATTAGAGCATGATTCGGGTACTTATGGCGGGAAGAAAGGTATAAATGTTGGAAGGGGAGATTAGACAATTGAAATCTGTTTTTTTAAAGATTTCAGGTTTTGAAAAGCTATTTTTAGCCATTCATGAGAAGATCAATGAGAAATTTGTCATCATGGAGGAGATGATAATGAAGATTCTTGAGGGCCAAACCAAATCGACAACATCGGGGGTGAGAGCATCATTGACTAGACAAGAAAATGGGAGAAACCCTAACATAAGGATAATGAGGGAGAATAAGGAGGTGAAAATTTTTGGGGAAGAAGAGGAGATGGTATCTTTGGAATCACTTTCAAGGAGGGGAAATGATGGACTAAGATTTTTGGTGGAACTATAGAGTTTGGAAGAAAAAGAAGATGAGGAGAAGATAGAAGCACCAAACATAGTTCAACCACTCTTACAGGAATATCGAGAAGTGTTCTTGCTAGTTCATGAGTTGCTTGCTCCGCGGGAACACAAGCATGCTATTTTTTGGAAGGATGGAGTCTCACATATCAGTGTTAGTCTATACCATTCTCCCCATCTCCAAGAGGGTGAGATGGATAGATTGATCAAGGAGATGCTGGAGGTAGGAATCACTCGATCTAGTGACAGTCCATTTTTCAGTCTAGTGCTATTAGTCCAGTTCTTCAACAATAGTTTCCTTCATTCCACCTTGAGGACAATGTGACACTTTGGGAGGGGATTATTATTAGACCGGTCTAGCCGGTCCCAACATTTTAAAAGGAGAAATCGGGAATCGAGGCGTTTTGGCTAAGCGAGGCGAGGCGTAAGCCTAAAAAATTATAAAAAAAAGCAATTTAAAATTATGAATAATGATAAAATTGTCAAAAAATAACAAAATATTACGTCAATTGTGAATTTAATGATTTGTTCTAAGATAACATTCGTATATTACTGGAAAAAAAGATTTAAAATAAACTCACTTAAAAATAAAACATCCCTTTAGGATCAAGACCCAATGTAGGCTCATCATCACTTTGATTTTCTTTAGAAGAATCTTCATAATTAATGTCAAAGTCATCCTCAAACTCTTCTTCATCTATAATATTTTTTCCTTTATCCCCTATATCAGTTAATATTTCGTTAGCTCTATAATGAAACAATAATAACATAAAAAATAATTCATTATATTTGATAATACCTTTGAATTTTTTCGATGCTCCAATCTTACTTTATTTCTTTCTTTTATATACTTGGGTAGTTGCTTCATTGTCTTCATTGACATGAGTTTCTCCTTATGCTTCAACTTTAGGAATATCAACATTCTTAGGAGTAACCCATGTTTTGTAGCATGTTTGTGCTGCTCTAAATCCAAACATTCCCTTCTTCAAATGAAAATCCTCAAGTTGATCATTTACTTTAAGGTAGTTTTCTTCAGAAATGAGTTTGTCCATACATGCATACAAACCAGTTTTTACCTTTTTATCAACATGAAAGTCTTTATCATAATGAAATTGAGGGTTTAAATAGTATGCAGCAGCATGTAAGTGTTGGTGTAATTGACGATCCCTCTTTTTCATCTATAATATCCCATATTTCTTTGTAGGCACTTTCTTGACCTTCCAAATCTTTTGCAATATCTTCTTTAGCCCTATTCATTGCTTCATAAATAAATCTCATAGCCGGGGCCCTCTCACCATCAACCATTCTAAGCACCTTAACTAATGGTGTTGTTGTCTTCAAAGCATAATTTGTACTGCGCCAAAATGAATCATCTTTCATAACAATTTTTTTTTACCTATTTTCCTTCTTGTTTTTTTGCCCATGAACTTTTATCCCATTCTTCAGAAGCAAACATAGCTTCCAAAGGTTGCCTTAACTCCTTGAATCTCTGCAATGTTAAATATGCAGTAGCAAATCTCGTAACAGCAGGTCTAATAGTTTCCTTGTCAGTGAATTTTCTCATCAAATTGAGTACCAAAGAATGATTGTATATGAACTTACTAACGAATTTGGCTTTCAATAAGGCTGATTTATGCTGAGGCAACTGTCCCAACCTCTCAAGCATTAAATCAATGCAATGTGCAGCACAAGGAGTCCAGTAAAGGTGAGGCCTCTTCTCCATTAACATTCTCCCTGCAGCTTTATATGCACTTGCATTATCAGTAATAACTTGTACTACTAAAGCATCACCCACTTCCTCAACAACTTCATCCAACATTTCAAACAATAATTGTACATCCTTTACAAAACTTGAAGCATCCACTGATTTTAGAAAAATTGTTCCATATGGATTGTTGACCAAAAATTAATAATACTTCTATGTCAAATATCTGACCAACCATCTGACATTATTGTGACTCCTGTCTCAATCCAAGTCTTCTTAACATCATCCACCATTTTTGAAGTTGTCTTGACCTTCTCATTCAGCATCCAAGTTCTCAGTTCATACATGCTGGGAAGTTGTAGTCCTCTTCCATAGCTTCCAACAGTCGTAACATATTAATCCATGAAGGACTCCTAACAACATTAAATGGAATCCCATTTTCATAGATGAATCTGGCGATATCCAAACAAACCCTATTCCTTAGTTCTTTTGTATCAGTAGGAGGCTGAAGATCCTGAGTGTTTATGCTATCCTCGTCATCAATATTTATCATAAATCTATCCATAGGACCTCGAGTGCCTCTGTTAGAAGAAACTAGATGGCTTCCACTACTGGAACCTTCATACTGTGATCCATAATAAGAAGAGTTTCCTATCATCTCTTTCATATTTCTTTGTGTAACCTCCTTTGTGGTGGAAAACTTCTTTAAATAATATGTACATTTTTTTTTCACCTCATCAGGTACTTTTGCACATGGTCCCACATTGACATGAGTACAGGCTAGATGATCCTTCAACCTCTTAACGCTACGAGTTATGCGTTTCTCACAGAAATTACATTTCATGTAAACATATCCCTTCTTTGCACCTTCGCCAGACACTTCAACTTGAGTTTCATATTTCCATGCAGGATCTTTCCTTCTTGTACTACTAGTCATGCTAATAATAGGATAGATTTTAACAATTATTTGTACTATCAATAATAAAACAACATGAATACAAAAATGTACCAGTCTGCTGGGGGTCCAAGGGGGCGTTGCCCCTTGGCGGGGTTCGACCTGCCCGGTTAGGTCGCGGGGTCAAGGGGCAGCGCGCCCCTGTGGGGGTTTCCAGGGGCAGCACCCCCGGAACAAAATTTTATTATAAGAGTAATTTTGAAATTCTGCTTGTTGTATATGCTCAGTACCAAGCATGTACCGCTCAGTACCGAGCATGTACCGCTCAATACCGAGCATATACTACTCGGTACCGAGTGTGTACCTAGTGGTACCGAGCATGTACCTCTCAATGCCGAGCATATACTTGCTCGGTACCAAGGGGTGCTGGCTCGGTACTGAGGGGTGCTGGCTCGGTACTGAGGGGTGTTGGCTCCGTACCGAGTATGTACCTAGCAGTACCGAGCTTGTACCTGCTCGGTACCGAGCTTGTACCTGCTCGGTACCGAGCATGTACTGAGCGGAATAATGAAAGAAAGCTGAATCAGGAGTTATTCAAGCTTTCGTTACTGC